GTGATAGTATAGTTGTATACTGTAGTATTGTGATAGTATAGTTGTATACTGTAGTATTGTGATAGTATAGTTGTATAGTGTAGTATTGTGATAGTATACTGTAGTATTGTGATAGTATAGTTGTATAGTGTCTGACGTCATTGACGGACTTGTTTGAACACAGCGGGATCAGTAACACAGGCCTCACGTCGTTTCCTGAACTTCAACATATTCAGTCCAGTCAGGAGGATTTTATTCTGTAAGTCTTGTTTTATTAAGTATCTGAATGTTTAACTGGTTTCAAAATCTTTAATGTTCATATCTTTCTCACAGGGAGATAGTGGAGAACATCTTCATACAAACCATTCCTGCGAATTCTTTCACTGGAATATCTGACAACACTCTGACCGTGTGAGTTCAGCTTCTCTCCACCTGATTTCATTTTTCATCATCGACTGTAAAATCACTTGAAGCCAGAATTAAGTTAGAAGTTAAAACAGCGTCTGTAAATGTAGATGATCAAAACAAGCAGCCGAACAAACAAATGAACCATTGTCTGCCCTTTAAAACAGTTCAGATCTGGACTGAATGTGACATCATGTTTCTTTCAGCCTGTTAAACAGTAACGGAGTGAAAGAAATCCAGAGTTACGCCTTCAACGGGAGCAGACTGGAGGAAGTGTGGGTGTATTTAAAATGACATTCACCACGTCTGTAGTTATGTACATTTTGAATAATTTCTCTATTGTTAATATTTCTAATTGGCAGGTTGAACTTCTACAGAAGCTTTTGATCAGTAATGATTTAAAAAGCTCAGCTCTTTGTCGTCCGTCTCTTCCTTCAGGTATCTTCACAGGAATGTGGATTTGGAACAAATCCATGAATTTGCATTTTACGGTGTCATTCACGGCCCCACTCACCTGTGAGTCAGTAAAGGAGTGAATGTTGCGTGCTGTTTTCTTCAGTCTCACAATATCTTTCCATTAAACAGTAGCTTTACTTTGAAAAGGAGCGTGGACACACGAACAGCTTCATGTCTGAATGAATTCATCTGAACTGTGTGTGTCTGTGCAGAGACCTTTCAGAAACCAAGGTTCGCTCTCTGCCCTCGAGAGGCCTGGAGACCATTGAAAAGCTCCGGGCTGAAAACACTTGGGCTCTTAAAGTGCTGCCCCCCTCCAGCGTCTTTCTGCATCTACAGAGCGCTGCATTGACTTTCCCCAGCCACTGCTGCGGCCTCCAACTGCTGAAGAGATGGAGAGGGTGAGACAGAGAAAAGAAAGTGTTGGGAAACTTCTTCTTCTGGGTTTCCTTCCCTCCTGTGTTTGTCCTTCACATTCCAGACGACCCTCAGCTCCGCTCTTCTGTTGTTCTGATGTAAACACGTCTTTTTTCTCACTTTATCGAAACACTCCTTCAGTTCTTTCATCAGGTCAAATTAAATATGAAACACTACGAGCACCGTCCGATTAAACCTTAATGATAATAATAATCCATTTCATTTCACATGGATAACATCTTCAGATCATCAACTTTATGCTGAGGTTAAACTTTGTTCTGTATCAGATCCGATATTGAATAAATCTGATGAACGACTCTCGTCTGTTCTCCAGACACACGGAGGCGGTCTTCTGTAACCTGACCCGCAGCGCTCTAGAAAAACTGCAGGAATCCTCAGCAGCTCTGTCTCAGGAATATCTGGGTCATTACTACGACGCCCCCATGTGTCCGACGGAACCCTTTCATCCCGACGGTGTGTTCTACGTGGAGTTAGCGACGCAGCGTCTCACCGAAGGTTTTGACTTCTCGCTGTGTAATGAACGTCACGCAGATGTTGGAGGCCCCCTGTGCACGCCCCTGCCTGACGCCCTGAACCCCTGTGAGGACGTGATGAGTCAGGGGTTCCTCAGGGTGCTGGTGTGGGGGGTCAGTCTTTTGGCCATTTCAGCAAACCTCCTGGTGATGTTCATCCTGCTGAGCAGCCGACAGAAACTGTCCGTCACCCGTTTCCTCATGGGTCACCTGGCGTTTGCAGACTTCTGTATGGGGATGTACCTGCTGCTCATCGCGTCCGTCGACCTCTACACTCACTCCCATTACTACCACTATGCTATCGCCTGGCAAACAGGAAGTGGCTGTAAGCTAGCAGGGGCGTTATCATTGTTTGCCAGTGAGCTGTCCGTGTACACGTTAACTTTAATCAGCCTTCAGCGCTGGCACGCCATCTTCTTCGCCATGAGGCCAGACAGGAGAATGAGGCTACGCCACGCGGCCGTGTTGATGCTCGCCGGCTGGTTGCTGTGCGTGATCCTCGCTCTGCTTCCTCTGGTTGGCGTGAGCAGTTACCAGAGGGTGAGCATCTGTTTACCGATGGACACGGAGACGACGGCTGCTCAGGCGTACGTGGTCTCCGTCCTGATGATCAACGTCACAGCCTTCGTGGTGGTCTGCTTGTGTTACCTCCACATCTACTGTATGGTGCACAACCCCCAGCACCAGTCCAGCAGGTGCGACACCAGCATGGCCAAACGCATGGCCGTCCTCATTTTCACCAGCTTCCTGTGTCTGGCTCCCATTTGCTTTTACGGTTTGTCTGCAGCTTTCCACCGACCACTGATGACCGTCACCGATTCCAAGGTGAGACTCTAGTTACTCCAGATTTCTGTGGGAGAAAATAAACTAAAGTCTGATTCCTGTTTTCCTCCTCAGGTGCTGCTGGTTCTCTTCTACCCTCTCAACTCTTGTGCTCACCCCTTTTTATACGTTATCCTGACGAAAGCCTTTCACCGAGACATCCTGATGTTGCTGAGCAGGGCGGGGCTGTTTCAGTGGAGAGCACACCTCTACTGAGGTATCACCCCCGCCCCCCTTCAGGACTCAGCAGACTTCGAGACGCTGCCTCTGAAATGTGACTGTTCTTTTCATGTGGTTGTAGATTTGAGGAGCAACATTTTTTCTCGTGTATAGAGGGAAGTGTAAATGTCATTATTCACCATTATTGGATTCGAACCCTGTCTGTTGCTTATATTTCACATTCTTGATTCAGACTCGCGGTGAAGACAAAGCGTCGCTAACACTTCCTGTCAGGAACAGTTCCACCTCGTCCCTGCTCTGACTCTTCACCATCACTGCTCCTCCTTCAGAGGAGTTTCTGTTACTAAGCAACTGACTGCAGAGGAGACAGTCCAACATGTGTTTGTTTACTGATAAGGAGCGAGAACGCTCGTGTGGACAAAGGTCATATTAGTTTTGAAACAAAATGTATTAGTGTGGATGTCTCCTCAGAGTGCGTGATGACGTGGTCTCTGTGGTCATGTGTGAAAACAGTAACGCAATCCAATGTGTCCTGATCAAAAATAAAAGATTCATTCAAGTAACAAAATAGTTTTTATTAAAACTGCAACACCGTCAAACTGAAGCTTGAAAATGAATGTTGTGAATCCCAAACCTTTACAGGCGAAGCTGAGTTGAAAGATGGTTCGACATGAGTCCGGAATCTTTGAGGGTCAGACGACGTCTCAGCGTTGAGACCATGCGGGTCAGAGAGTCAACATGTTGATGGTCCTCGAGCTGATCTCTAGTTTAAAGGTAATTCTTCTACAGCATGTCTCTGATTCCAGCAGCGTCTCGGACCATGCTGCTGTAGACCGATCTGTACACCTTTAAAACATCCTGAGCTGAGGGCCGCAGCCTGGGGTCCGTCTTCTTACACTCCTCGTGGATCTGAAAAAGATGGAAGTGGACTAAATCTCCCCCGGGTACTCTTCCCATCAGGAACCACGTCACGTCAGGGATCTTCCAGATATCCGTCTTCTCGTCGTACTCGGGCATGAGCTCGTCTGAAAATGGCTTCCCTTCGTTCACGAATGGCCAAAGCTGCTCCGGAGCTACAAAGTCCCCGGTGAGCTCTCTGTGGCCACATTTCACCAACGAGCCTCTGGATTGGTCCACCTCAGGCAACGCGTCCAGATCGTTGACCACCAGGTGAAAGTCGCTCGTCAGCAGAAACTGGGACAGCGTTTTCTCCAGGCTGTTGGAGTCGCACATGACCCGCCGCCCGGCCGGGCTGTTGTGAAGGTAATGGAGGATGGAGACGTAGTCCGTCGCCAGCCTCAGTCGTGTCTGCCACGTGTTGTGTTGCTGGTGCTGCTCTTGTGCCAAAACAGCGTCCAAGTTGAGCAAGGAGCCGAGCGGTTGGTGCTCTGTGACCAGGGTGTGGTCTTCAAGGCAATATCCCACCAACTGCACCACCTGGGGGCCCTGCAGAGCCTGTAGCATGGACAGTCCATGGAGAAAATCCTCCAGGTAATCCACAGAGGACAGTTTGGACAGCGCCACCTTCTGGGCTCTCCACTCAGCCAGAAAGACCTGAGGACAGCAGAGTGGACGCTGAGGTAAGTGAGATGAAACTGCTCTATGACAACAAACCATTTAAAAACGAGCGCCTACCTTCTTCACAGCTCCCTGGCCAATCAGCTTCAGCTTGCGGACTTCTGCTCTGATCTGTGAGCACTGGAGCCACGGGGTGCAGTTCTTCATCAACACCATCTTAAAGTGTCGCGGCAGACAGCCTCCATGAGGGGGCGCCAGCTGCTCCTCAGTCTGATACACTGACTCCAGATAAAGGTAGATCAAGACGTTGCTCATGAGCAAGGCAGCGAGGCACACTGCCGCCACCGGAACGCCGTGGGAGAGCGTACGGCTGCTGCTGCGTCCCATGATGCTCTGCATGTGAAATAAAACGCAAAGGTGTCGGAGGAAGAGAATACAAAGTGCAGCAGACAACATGGAGGAGGGACTTAAAGCTACACATGGAACAACAGCGCCCCCTGCAGACACACACGGTGACTCGTTCCGTTGGTCAGAGCGATGAAGTTGTTTTCATGTAGAGAAAAACTAACGATCAATCTTTTTTTAGATATTTTCTGTAGCGTCACTGATGACGTACGGAAGTTAAAGACAGATCGGACTCCTCAGCCAATCAGAGCGCAGGACTGGGTTCACGAGCTCCTGTTGTTTACACCGCACGCGACTGTACGAAGTCTCCGCCACACCCCCAATCACAGGCAGCTGGCCTCTGCGTTGTTTGTCGTCATGGTGACAGGAACAGCCACATAGGTCACGGGGGGGGGGGCGGGTCTGCACGCGCCCGAAACTAACGTAAAAACAACAACACGAGAAAAACACGTGACCACCGTCAGAGACATTCACCAACGTACCTGCGCAACCACCGGTTCGCATGGCAACACCCGCGAGACACCTCGTCACAACACCTGTCCTCCGCTTAGCATGAGCTCCGCTAGCCACCGGAACTACAGCGAAACTTCCGGTCACGTCTTACAAAATAAAAGCTCCGGTAAGAGGAGCTGAAGAAGTTGAGAAAATAAGAAATTGTTTCATTTCATTTTCCTCCAACAGTAAAAGAGCTGAACTTCAAAATTCACCCAGCAAATGAGATAATACGATTTAATTTTGATGTTAAAGAAAATCTCCCTATTATTATTCTGTTATTAGAAAA